AGGATGGGACTGAGGACACATCCCCGTGGGGTGCCAGTGTTTGTAACAATGCTGGCTGAAATCCTATTGCCAATCCTGACAGTCTGGGGCCTGCCAGTCAGAAAGTCCGGGAGCCAGTCACAGAGGGTGGGGTGCAGACCTAGTGTGGACAGTTTGTGGGGGACAACTGTGTTGAAGGCGGCGCTGTAGTCAATGAAGAGTATCCTGATGTAGGAGTCTCCATTTTCCAGGTGAGAAAGGAGGTGGCCCTGTTGGGCCGGTAGGCATACTGCAGGGGGTCCAGGGTGTCTGGTATACTGCTCTGAATGCGGGCCAGCACCACGCTCTCAAAACACTTAACACAATGATTGGGGTGAGTGCCACCGGCCTGTAGTCGTTCAGACAGGTGACTGGGCTCTTCTTGGGAAGGGGAACACTGGTTGTGGTCTTAAAGCAGGTGGGAACGATGCTTTGGCTGAGGGAGAGGTGGAAGATTGTGGTAAGAACATCAGCCAGCTCGCCGGCACATGCCCTGAGAGCCCACCCAGGGATGTTGTCCGGTCCCGTTGCTTTGATCTTCCCCAGGACTGTGCGTACCTTTCTCCTTATAGTCATTTATTGTGGTCTTATTCTGCTATGTAAAGTACTTTGGTCAACTGGATGTAGTTTTTAAAGTGCTGTATAAATAAAGTTGATTTGATGTCTGCGGTTTCTGAAATGTCCGATTTTATGATGGAGTCCGGTTTTCCCTTCGTTACGCCAATGAAAACGAAACCATACAGGGTAACAACACGCTACAGTAAGTATACACCTGCAACGTAAAGGTAAAAACAAACACCAGTCTGCATGCTAAAGCTAACACCACGGCTAACACATGAGAACGTCTAACGCTAGCTAACTGTTAGGGCACAACACAGAGGTTATCTGTAATTGTATCGCTCTACATACCTGCTCACTGAATCCCGAACCAAAAACACCACTGTCAGATTATCAGAGTATATTCGTAGAGATACAACTGAATGTCCAGTTTATGAATTTGAAGCGTTTTATTGCATGTTTCTTATAAAATAATTAACGCTTTAAAAAATCTGCCAGGGCTTTTACAACACAACGTGTGCATGAAGAATTCTGTCCGCCGGAAGTACTTCGTCACTATAAAAGTACTTCCGGATTTCCTCTACTTTGTTCCTCCTCCTCTTTTAGTATTAATAATTAGCTTTTAAAATGTTTGCTTTTTTTTTTAAATACAGCCTATGTAATATTAATGTAAATGAGATGGAAGTAACTGATGAAAGAAAATTGTAAATCAAAAGTGGCCTATATGGCTCCAGGTCCATGTAGTTTGATGATCGAAGTGACAAGACAGTTCCTTGAACTTGGCATTTAATTTTTTTTTCTAATAATAAAACTGAAGCTTAGATGATTAAACTTTGTTTTATCATTGCAAGCATAGTCTTTGTGTATTCAGCATGGTCAGTGTACGCAATGTGATTATTATGTCAACTTTAAAGGTTTTGGTGTCTGCAAAGATAAGATACAGTCAGGTCCATAAATATTGGGACATCGACACAATTCTAACATTTTTGGCCCTATACACCACCACAATGGATTTGAAATGAAACGAACAAGATGTGCTTTAACTGCAGACTGTCAGCTTTAATTTGAGGGTATTTACATCCAAATCAGGTGAACGGTGTAGGAATTACAACAGTTTGCATATGTGCCTCCCACTTGTTAAGGGACCAAAAGTAATGGGACAGAATAATAATCATAAATCAAACTTTCACTTTTTAATACTTGGTTGCAAATCCTTTGCAGTCAATTACAGCCTGAAGTCTGGAACGCATAGACATCACCAGACGCTGGGTTTCATCCCTGGTGATGCTCTGCCAGGCCTCTACTGCAACTGTCTTCAGTTCCTGCTTGTTCTTGGGGCATTTTCCCTTCAGTTTTGTCTTCAGCAAGTGAAATGCATGCTCAATCGGATTCAGGTCAGATGATTGACTTGGCCATTGCATAACATTCCACTTCTTTCCCTTAAAAAACTCTTTGGTTGCTTTTGCAGTATGCTTTGGGTCATTGTCCATCTGCACTGTGAAGCGCCGTCCAATGAGTTCTGAAGCATTTGGCTGAATATGAGCAGATAATATTGCCCGAAACACTTCAGAATTCATCCTGCTGCTTTTGTCAGCAGTCACATCATCAATAAATACAAGAGAACCAGTTCCATTGGCAGCCATACATGCCCACGCCATGACACTACCACCACCATGCTTCACTGATGACGTGGTATGCTTAGGATCATGAGCAGTTCCTTTCCTTCTCCATACTCTTCTCTTCCCATCACTCTGGTACAAGTTGATCTTGATCTCATCTGTCCATAGGATGTTGTTCCAGAACTGTGAAGGCTTTTTTAGATGTCGTTTGGCAAACTCTAATCTGGCCTTCCTGTTTTTGGGGCTCACCAATGGTTTACATCTTGTGGTGAACCCTCTGTATTCACTCTGGTGAAGTCTTCTCTTGATTGTTGACTTTGACACACATACACCTACCTCCTGGAGAGTGTTCTTGATCTGGCCAACTGTTGTGAAGGGTGTTTTCTTCACCAGGGAAAGAATTCTTCGGTCATCCACCACAGTTGTTTTCCGTGGTCTTCCGGGTCTTTTGGTGTTGCTGAGCTCACCGGTGCATGCCTTCTTTTTAAGAATGTTCCAAACAGTTGTTTTGGCCACGCCTAATGTTTTTGCTATCTCTCTGATGGGTTTGTTTTGTTTTTTCAGCCTAATGATGGCTTGCTTCACTGATAGTGACAGCTCTTTGGATCTCATCTTGAGAGTTGACAGCAACAGATTCCAAATGCAAATAGCACACTTGAAATGAACTCTGGACCTTTTATCTGCGCATTGTAATTGGGATGAGGGAATAACACACACCTGGCTGAGAAGCCAATTGTCCCATTACTTTTGGTCCCTTAACAAGTGTATATGTATATATATATATTCTACCCTAATCCCTAACCCTCACCTCAGCAGCTGCAATAAGATAAGATTACTTCTAATATGAACAGCAGTCTTCAGGCTCTTCTGCCATGTGTATATAATTATAAATGGTGGGTGTCTTTTCCTTTCATTCCCTTTTTATTTTTGATTGCACCCTTTTTCTACATGAACATACACAGTTTATTCTCATATTATTGCTCTATTTTTATTGTTATTTTCTATTTCTTTCACCTTATAACACACTGAAAGCCTCTGCAGCAGAGTCATATTCTATGATCAAACATCCTGGGCCATTAGAGACTATTCTGATATCTGATACATGCATATAGACAGTACATATGCAATAATACAGCAATAATTATAATCAAATAATAAATGCATTAACCTGAAAAGGATCATAAATAAAATGAGTACTTTTACTTCTGCTACTCTAGTGTATGGCTATTTTGCTGATAATACTTTTCTAAATTAGGTCAAGTTTTGAATGTATACTGTGTTATGATGTCTTGTTACTTCAGTGAAGGATCTGAGTACTTGTGTCACCGCTGCTGTTTTCCGATCAGGTCCACAGATTATTGATGGTGATTGGTAAGTCCAGTCGAAGGTCTCTTCCTTCAGCAGGTCAGCAGATTTCTATCAGACATCCCGTTACACATTAAACTGGGAGGGAGCTACAGGTGTGCAGCTCCAGGTGAAGCCACTATCAGTCGGTGTGAGGGTGAAGATGAGGCTGGAACTGCTCCTGGTCGCCACAGTGGCGCTCTGTCCTGCTGGCAAGCCGCTGAGCAAGACAGTGCCCAGGAACAAGTTGCTCCTGATCTCCTTTGACGGCTTCAGGTGGGATTACGACAAGGACGTGGACACGCCAAACCTGGACCAGCTGGCTGTGGATGGGGTCAAGGCCAAATACATCACCCCCCCAATGCTGACCATGACCTCTCCGTCCCACTTCACCACCATCACCGGTAACACAGAACTACAATATTATTTGTTTATGTATTGAATCTGATGTACTTCTACAATTAGCATCACTATTACTAATGTGGCAACAGCACTACAACAACTACTACTGCTATTATTTATGTTAACCAGTGAGGGGAAAGCTCTCAGATTCAAGATTCAAAATCTTTATTTTCTATTTATGCATAAACTACTGCATATACTACTACTTCAGTAAAAGTATTAATACCACTTTGTTACATGTTCTAAAGTGAAGATGAGGCAGTTTATTGTTGAACAGGAGCTAAGTGGAACTAATCTCTATGAGACTAACTCTTTCATCGTGGATCAATCTGCTGATGATTTGCTCAGTTAATTATTTGGTTTGTAAAAGGTCAGAAAAGTCACCCAGAGCCCACAGCAACGCCATCACAGTAAGGGTGGATTATTGAAATGATTTTAAAAAAAAACAACAACAAAAAAAAACAAGACAAGACAAGCAACAGGATTATGTGTAAAATTGATTTGATTTATTCTTTCAAGCATGTAAAACAGTTGATATGACAACACATAATTTTACACATAATCCAATATCAATTTGCTTATACCTAGTACATGCTTGAATGGAGTAGGAAGAAATTATGTGTGTTGTCATATCAACTGTTGAAAGAATACATCAAATTAAAATCAAATCAAATCAAACAGAACCTAACGTGCAAAATGCTGCAACCATAAAATATTTATTTTACTTTGCGTTAACTTGGTGTCAGTGATGTTCAGGTCTAAATTTCAAATGTTGACTTTTATGATTTCAATTTGTCCCAGACAATGACAGCAACCAGGTTTTTGACTTTGATGTTTAGATCAAAGATGGAACCTACTGAATTTGAGCAATCTGATCTTTAATTTTGTGTCTGAACTCATGGACCCAAAACACAAAATACACAGTATATATTGGGGAAAAGGAATTTTAAAATGGCACAATATGAAAATGAGAAGTGAACATTTCCCAGAGCTGAATTATCAGCATATCAGCTCAGATACAGTCGTCAAATATCTCAGTATATTCAATGTTACTTTAAGAATTCAGTGGTGATAAACCTTCACAACTGGCTGTTCAGTTTCTTATATAATTAACATATTTCTAAGTGCACCTTACAGTGGCCAGTCACACTAAACACAAAAGTAAGAAAGCACAATACTTTGTGAATTTCCCTGTTGTATGACTAACAAAGGTACTTCTTATCTTATCTTACAATAAGAGAACAAAGTATTATTCTATGTACTACATATACCCAGTACAATGACAGTACCCTGTGATGCAGGTAAAAACGAGACAAGCTGCCCATCGTGATGCGGGATTGTTCTTGGATATTCAAATTGATTAATGTCACATAAAGTAAACTCAGGTGGGGTAACAGTAATAATACAATCAACAACAGTTGTTAGTACAAAGTACACAGTCAGAGAACAGACTGTACTCAGAATAATCAGACACCAACGCCTACAGTCACGAGTACAACAGCACATTGCACTGATGTGTTGTACTGCAGATTTATTTGCATCAGGTTTGCATAATAAAACTAACAGTAAGATAAAAAGTGAATCTGGTCCAGGATCAGTTGTCACTGTAGGTTAAAAGCACAAAAACAACATAACTAGAATGACTGCTTTGCGGTTGTATGCCTACGCCAGTCAAATTCTCAGGTATGGGACAGAAGTGAGGTCACTGACCTTGACCTTTGACCTCCAAAATCTAATCAGTTCATCACGGAGTCCAAGTGGACAAATTTAGAGGGATTGCTTCAAGGCGTTTCGTAAAATTGTGTTCACAAGAACAGGCCGGAAGGACAACCTGAAAACATAAAGCCTCCAGCCACAGCTGTCACCAGCGCAGAGGCATAAAAAGCCATAGTGTGAGCAGCTGTGCTTTATAAAGTGACCTCTGAGACAAAACAGTACACTACTGAAGTCGCCTGAAGATTAATGTTCACCTGAATGACCAGGCATGTAGGTCCTCTCCTCCTGCCTGTGGTTTCTAGCCACGCAGCTACCACGGCTGGAGCCTGACGCTAAAGCAGAAGCATCTTGCTGCTGATTTTATATTTAATTGTTCTACATAATAAATTCCATTCACCTCCATTGTATTGGAGTGGAGGAGGAAATCTGAAAACCTGTATAAATAATAAGTAAATAAAATTATATCTTC